ATAAGCACTTGGGAATTTTTAAGAACACTCGAGAAGTGCGAGAAGCACTCGGCTGCGCCTCGTGCTTCTCTATGCACTTCTCTCGTGTTCTTAAAAATTCCCGCGTGCTTATATAACTCAACAATGCACTCGGGCGCGTTTTTTATTTCTATAGTCTAGGTCAGTGTAAAAGTGCTAACTAATTTCCTAATTCTGCGTTGCGTGGGGAAAGAGAAAGGACCGATGTACGGTAATTTAAAATACAAACAACTGTCCTTACGAGTAGTACCCTGAGAGGAATCGGAGGTGAAATGATTGTTAAGAAATTTTCTAACAACATTCTCGATGACGTTAAAAGGGAACAAATTCCACCTTAATGTTTTGGTATGGTTATTTATGTCAAGGTAAAAGCTAGCCCAAGTATTGTTGATTTTAAACGTTCGGTCTACCAGAGTGCGTTGTTGTTCCCTACCTTAGCGTTCAGATCTCCCATCACCACGATCATGTCGTGTCTATTGCACCTAGAAACCGTGTCCTGCAGCTGGTTGTAGAATTCATCTTTTTTCTCATCCATCGCCTCATTCGCTGGTGCATATGCTTGTATTACCGTCAGCTTTTTGTATTTTGAGTAGAATCGTGCCTTGACGACCCTCTTGCTCATCAGCGTCCATTCCTTCAAGGCTCTTCTTGCCCTAGCACTCATCATAGTGGCTACTCCTCCCTGTCGCACCATATCATCTCCTACGTACACCACCTTCTCACCACTCTACAGTGTTATTGACCCCATACCTTTCCACCTGGTCTCACTTATCCCTGGCACTTTAATTCCATATTCTGCCATCTCTTTGGCCACTTGCGCTGTCCGCGTTGCCTCTACCATAGTCCTCACGTTCCAGCAGCCAATGGTTGTACAGTTCTTGGGTGCTACTATGGGGCCTATCGACCTTTGGGCTTCCCGCCGGCTTTGACCCAAGAGTGTCATTCCAACTCCAGCAGCAAGACTCCAAGATTGTGTTGTATCATTGTTAATGCTTCAGGTTTCTGTAACATAACGCTTTTTATGTGACAGGGTCGTTAGCCCTGCTCCCAACCCCCAGGGGACCAGGGGATCACTACTCTCTCTCTCTCTGGTCTCTACCCTGAAGTAGAAGTAGCAAGAATGCTTGCTACTAATGCTTGCTACGCAAGTTACTTAACCATCAAGTACCGTGCTCCTTGTGTCAAGCTCCTCGCCGACAAAGCGCAACAGTATATAACTGTCTACAACGGTATATTTTATTGTGTAAATACTGTCCCCAATTAGTTTTTTTAAGCTAAATGCTATTGATACTTTAATAAGGTCTTTCATTCATTCACTCATTCAGTGCCTGTTAACAACGCAAAGAAACAAAGAAAGGAATAAATTTCGTTTCAGTTCTTGAATTTCAAACGACTTACATCAGTAAGAACTGAATCAGACAAAGGCCTTTGCATTCAGAAGTAGGCTCCAAGAGCTCTTTGATTCTGTTCGGTTCTCTATCTAAATCGTTACAGCCTTGAAGCTACGCTGTCTGGAAATACCACCAATTTGGTGCCCAATGACGCACAAAAGGTCCAGCGAAATTTGAGTCACGTTGGTTTTGTGCTGTCTGCACCATAGGAACTTATTATCAACTTGGTTATCCTGTGGTACTTGATTGTCTGGGAAGCTCTCGTTGGTGCAGCGATATTTTTTGTCCTTGTCGCCTTTCAAACGTTACTGGCGAAAAAATCCGTCAAGCTCAGAGATAGAACTGCCGCTTTCAACGATAAACGGCTCGTGGTGATGAACGAAATCATTTCTAGAATACGAGCGGTGAAGATGTATGCCTAGCAGTAGAATTTCAGAGACGCCGTCCGCGATATTCGCAGGTAAAAAAAAAAATAGTGGGACGAAAAGAACACTTGAGAAATATACGTCAAAGGCGACAAGGAAACCGTCAAGGGACAGAAGTATGAAAAGGCTGTCTTGTGACTTTGCCTCTTTTGGCAACAAAATACGAGTTGTGCCCAGTGGTTAGGTTTATAGTCTCCGAGCGTATGATTAGAAATATTACATCAAACACGGTAGACCTTGTTTTACCACACTGCAAACACCAGGAAGAGAGTTAAGAATACGACGCGCTTCGGAGTACTTTTGACGAACTTCATCTGTTCGGAAATGCGGTGAAACAATGTCTCGAGTGTTCGACATATCTTCTTAAACGCAACTAAACCTAGGGAGAAAACGGAGAAATAACTGGTAAAAATCTGTTGCTTAAGATCTGAGATATCCATACAGCGTCATGGTGGCGATTTCCCTTGTTTGAACGTGATGAATTGCGTCATGGTTTTGTACATTCGCATTTCGAACCTGTTCTGCTGGAAGTTATCGAAAAGGTGTTTTTAGATTACAACTCTGCCAATGTCTTCTAAGAAAAGGTATTGAGTAAAATCACCTTTATTTAGACTTGCCACAAGTCGACCTTTTCTTAATCCTTGACTTATTTATCTCCTTTGAGTGAAGTGGTAATGCGACGAAGTCGCGAGCGCGAGCGCGAACGACGTAAGTCGCGAGAGGTCGTCCTTTCCAGCGGCGAAACCAACAGGCCAGGGAGGAATTATTGGAAAGGGCTTTTAGAAAGTCTAACCTTTACGCTGTTCGTTATGCAGGAAGGAGATGTCGCTAATTCGCTTCCGAGGGATCACTGTTTCCTTGCTAGTAATTTTGTACCTTACAACGGTTACCATCGCTGTTCTCATCTCAGTCACAACGCTGGTTTTGACAGGAACGCACCTATAATTAGCCACGGTATAGGCGAATCTTTGCTGACGTCAGTGTTTACATTTTGCCATTAACATACGACTTTGCACAGAGAAGGCATCACGCTATACAGGAATTGACTACAAACATTTAAAAAGCTTGTGAAACTTAGTAATTGGTAAAATGTTTGGCTCTTTGGGTTTAATATTCGAGGAGAAATTGGCTTTCTAAAACTATAAAATTCTGGGTGGCAATAGCACCAAGGAGCTCATACATTCATTGTAAAAATTTTGAGTTTTTAAATTCGCGTCGCAAAAAAAGTATTCAATACATCGGGTTCAAACTATTTGTGACGGTTAATCGTACTGTACCCTTTCAATAATCAGAACTGATGTTTTTAAAGCTCGATCAGAAACTGTATCACATCTGCAAATTAGGCAAATATTTATAAACAAAGATTCTCATATTCACCCTTTTTCTAGGCTTCGTGACCCTGAGGACAACGTTTTGCTACAATTTGAGCGTGGCCCTACGTAATGGCTTAGATACTAAAGTAGCAATTGACAGAATGCAGACTGTTCTTGATCATGACGTACCAATGACTTAAGGAACCGAAGACCACGACAATACAGATCAACATACTGAAAGCCTTTCTTTGACCAATCCTATCTAGGGGGTGGGGTGGGGGGGGGGCTATCAGAACAATTCCTGGAGCAGACCAGGGTTCCCCAAAGTGCAAAAGAAAATCAGTTTTAATACCTCAACAGCTGCCTTTTTAACTTGGAAAATATTTTTATTTTTTAACTTGTAGTGGTGGGACGATTTCACTCCATAACTCCTTCACNGGCTATCAGAACAATTCCTGGAGCAGACCAGGGTTCCATTAATTGCCCCTGACCAAATAAGTTGCTCAACTCAAAAGAGCCTTTTTAACTTGGAAAATATTTATGTTTTGCAAGTTGTAGTGGTGGGACGATTTCACTCCATCACTCCTTCACTCCTTCACTACCTGTTAGACATTTGGAACCCCTGGAGGGAACTCCCATATGAGAAAGTCAGGGATGCTCGTCGGAAAATTTGAATGTAACCCCTAAAGAAGACCCACGTGGACGTTGCTCAAGCTTCATTCGACCCCTAAAAGATACCATTCACTAAAAACAGAATAGCTTCGATTACTAGCCACTGCTTAGGAACGGATCCCGCGCGCACTTGTAGACCCGACTCGCGTACCCGAGAGATCAGCGGAAAACAAATGAGAGCTTGATTAAAAGTTTTGGACGATCAACAGACAAAAAAATTGAGGATAATTCGAACGACGCGTTTCGCTATTACTGATACAGTATTGTAAATAAATACTTCAAAGATAAATACAGACCTGTCGAATAGCGAAAAAATTAAGAAGTTATTATATCACGGGGCATTCCATCCAAGCAGGAACCTCGCCGAACAGGGCTTAAATTTGTTGACCGGACGAGACGCAGTCCCGTCCTTGTAGTATTATTACTCTATGTTGGATAATTTTTTTCTATTATTTCTAAGAGCTCTCAAAAGGTAACAGAGAAAGAAAAAAAATCATTGATTATATCGCCTGAGAAAATAAAGAACGAAAAAAAGATAGGAATGAAAATGAGAATACGATTAAGCTTGCTTTGCTGATCGGAAAAGAAGCGGTACTTTCTTTACAATTGTCTCGGACGAGGATCACCAATAACTTCATGAAAATCGAATGTTTCCAACGGTGTTACATCTCCTTCTATATTCTCCTATCGTTGCGTTTTGCCAGTGGGCTTTAACTTTAACTAAACCTACGGATTGAAACCTCAAGTCAGTGGTATCAAAACTGTCACTATTCACAGACAATCCATTTTTCAAGCTGAGGGGCTCATAGCCACTTTGATTTCTCAATTGCGGACATTTCGTGTTGTTGGAATCAAGATCTGAGATAAACACAGACACCTTGCATGAGATAACTTTAATTGTCTCCAGTGGTAGCATGGTGTCAATAACAGAACCCACAGGATGTGGAAAATCGTCTTTGCAACACCTATTCTTGGTGAACTACCTCTAAGTGCATGAGACATATCGTATCACGGAAAATTAAATTAGCCTACATTCCTCAAATTCCCTGGGTATTTTCTGGGACTGTAATGAGAACATTTTGTTTGGTCTTCCATTCAACAAGGAAATGTTTCCAAAATATTGTTGACACGTGTGGTTTGATGAAGGACTTGGCGGCCTTTACCAACGGTGACATGACGGAAGTTGGGCAACGTGTGGTGACCCCTAGTAGAGGTCAAAAAGGACTAGCACGGGCAGTACATTCAGATGCTGGTAGGTACCTTCTCGATGATCCGCTGAGTTCAGTCGACATCAAAGTAGGAAGAAGATCTTTTGAAGCTTGTATAGTCGGTCATTTATCGGGTCGTATTCGTTTACTGGTTAGGGTCATCGTTCTTTTTTACCCTCGAAGTTCTGAAAACATCTGAGAACCTGTAAAACAAGATGACCCTGTCGATCATTAAAGCCCCCCTGTTATTCTTTAACCAAAGCCCTGCTGGGCGTATCCTAAATCGGTTTTCCAAAGATGTTGGTTCTATGGACGACGTCATTTCTTCACGCTAGCATAGCTTGCCTCTTTACCATCTTCGTCACAATAGTTCCCGCTGCCGTAAATTACTGGTTCTTCTTGCCTGTTCCAATTTTGATTTTGGCGTTACTACCTCAAGCCTTCTAGAGAAGAAGATTGAAGCCTTCAAATGCAGTCCTGTGTACTCACATATCACAGAAACAACGCATGGTCTTGAAATAATGCACACTTGAAACATAAGCAGAACGTTTCTCTAAACGCTTGACAGGTTAGTCGTAGTCTAATTACATCAAGAAATCACAATCAATTCAAACAAAGATTTCTTCGAAACAATCTTGTGAACACTTGTGAATCACACTGTGGTTATCGATAGGAGAAATATCCA